GTGTTTACTGTTCATCAAATGGAATCTTAAAAAAAAAAATCTACCCTCCTTACATAACAGGCCATCTGTGCTCCAGAACACAGACTTGGAAGGCTATGCTTTTCAGTTATCCAGATAAAATCTAATATTACAAAACAGATTAGAGAAATAAACTAATATTCAAAATTAACTATTGTTAACTATGAAGCACCATGCCAATTTAACTAGCAAATTTACTATTACCTTACACCATTACAAGCCTAACTGTAATAAAGAACCTGACCAAACAATAGCCATTATGAGCAAGTGAGAGAGGTGTGCAACATTCTTTGGTTGTTTGGTTCAAGGAATGTACTCCTTCCCAAGATCAGATAATTAAGGGGGATCAGACGAGGGTCAGTATGTGCTACCACACCTAAAACATAAAGAATAAAGGGAAAACTCAAAGACTAAAGCGAAACCTTTCTTTCAGTTTCTATTTGGTTAACGATGTTCCTATGGAGAGTTGAGGAAATCTATGGAGTATATGTAGTAATCAACAATTTCATATAGCCAAGGAAGCACTGAGAACTTGGCACCTGGAATTTCTATTCCTCATTACAAAGCTTGAGAGTCAAGAGAATACCATCCCATGGGGGTCATCACTCTGGTCCTAGGGGATTTACTCCACTGGCTGCAGAATTGATATTGTACTATAAGCTAGAATAACCTTTTGCAAACTGAGGCGATACACCAAATTTCAAAGCTTAACCATGCATACAGTGTTCAGATGTGTTCCTTGCAACTCTCTTGTCACTACAACAACTTGGTAATATTGCACAAAAGATGCCAAAGTGATTTATGAATTTTGAGTTCTGCTGGAATGATCCCTAATTTCCCCCTCCGATTAACAGACACATGCACACAATCATATAGTGTGTTTTTGTTTAGGAGATGGCATACCCTTGTGAATCTAACAGTCTTCTTTCACTAGCACAGAGAAATGCTTATAACTTGAATTAGGTGAATGACTAAGTAGGAAATGACTGTTACTTGAATTAACAATGCCGTTTCTCCCATTAGATATATATAAAGTCTTTTCAGATATTCTGAATGGGTAGATGAATACACATAAGGGTCAGCACTACAGTGGAAAGCTCTCTTGCAATCTAAACAAATTTATTAGAACATATACATAGAGTCTACATGCATGTATGCACACCTCTCTCCATGTAGTTGGTAGCCCTAGTTTTTGGGTGTTCCCAAATGGGAACTTGCACTGTAGTGCTGTTCTCCCAGCCATCTGTCTGTCTATTAGATTTTTATCCATGGTTTCCTTCCTGAACCTCAACTGTTTTCATTCTACCCACTTAGAACTTCTGAACAGCCCACCGAGATAGTCATATGTATGGGTCAAAACAACAACTCTTAATATCTTAGGGTTTATTTCTTTTTGTTGCTCTAGAGCAACATGGCTATCCATTTGGAAATTTATTCCTGATATAATATTCCTCATAAGCCCCAATGAAATTAGTGGCATTTGCTGATATGAAATGTACATTTAGACTGGCAGCACAAAGGAATGATTCACAACTCATGCATACCTCTGTACTACTATCAGAGCTAATAGCCTTTTAAGTGACCTTTTCATTGCTCCGTATTTCATAATCCTCCAGTGGGACCACTATGATACAGTTTGATGCATGCAACTTAGTAAGTCAATATGACATTTTCAATATCTGGCATTTTAATCATGTGGGATGGGGGAATCCTACACAATTTAGTTGTGTACTGCTGCTGATCTGATATATGACAACAGTGATCATTCGTTTGGACAGTGGGTGGGATATGAATGCCCCAAGCCCACCAAGTAGGGTAGTTTCAGCCTTGACACAATTTATCATCAATACCCCAAAACAGTGCAGCAAGGATGAGGAAATGTCAGGAGTCAGTGAACAGCCTATTTGACTGGCATGGTTGGCATTCCAACATGCAGCCTAGAGGCTAGTGCAGTCCTGCCGCAGGTGTTGGGGTAGGCACTGGTGTAATAGGGGCAGGGTAAGATAGTGAGGTCCTGAGAGGTTGGGAGGAGATGAGTGAAACCTGCCAAATCTGCTGGAGACTGATTTGATCCCTATCACTCCCTGGCTGAGTCCCAGCATGAAGAGACAGGGGAAGAGAGTGCCTAGGAAGGAACAGGAAGTCCCAATGTTGAGCTACCCCATTTATGTTACATTAGCATACCTGTGGTGCCCCTGTCTAGGCCAGGCTTTGCTGTCATGCTTAAAACTGAATGTGAGTGTGCCAGACCCAATGATGAAAGGATTTACATGTGATTAGGTGCACATGGAACACTGCATGGGTAAGGGCTTACCTATCACACACACACACACACACACGAGAAATCAGGCCATAGACTGATCATAGGAAGAGTAGACAAAAGGAGCATGTCCAGATTTGTATAGGGATGCTGGAAAATGTTACTCATCAGGATGAGTAATAATGTCCAGGATGAGTAACTCAGTGTCTCAGTTACATTACCCATCAAGCACATTTGTCCCCTACTGTTAAATCTGAGGAGGGTTCAGTTTCTAGTTTCCAGTGGTAACCTTTCTGATTTTTATCTGGATGTGTATGAATAACTGAGAATGAGGAAACAATTTTTTTTCATTGGCATTTTAATTTCAAATGTATTTCAATTTTTTCAGGCAAAAAATAGGTACATGGTTTTCATATATTACACTGTACCTGGGCTTTTGGTGTATTAAAAGTCCACATAAATGGTGGTGTGTGTGGGCAGAGTGGGGACTGAACTGACAGCTTGGTCCTAAGCTCCTCTACAAGTAAATAAATGCTTCTTTACCCCCAGTGAAACTTAAATACAGGTAAATCATGTCTACGTCCGGAGCTTATTATTGCTTTAGTGCAAACACAGTGGCTTTGTTTGTTTGTAAATCACACCCATAGGCTTAGCATCTATGGAGAGTCTGAATTATTTTATCACAGCTGAAATCTATTTTTCCCCAGACTAGTCCACAAAAGACCTCATTCTATGTAGATGAATCAATTTTCACATACGCCTAGTAGTCATGTTATTATAAATTATACTGTAATATTTATATATGACATTTAAATAATGTTACAAAAGCCCATTTCTCAGTTCAATATTTTGCTTTCTGGAATTTGAGATGTATTTTCAATAACGTCCTTTTTATGCAGTGTGCATGACCTTATGTCAACATATTGTAATTGAGAAACAAATGAATCTCCTGATTCCACAGGCCCTGCCTTTGCCAAAACCTCCAGGAGCATTCCAGTGCATAAAATCAGCTTCTGCAGTCACAAAAGCTTGCCCATTCACTGCAATGCTAGAAGCAGCATTCCATATACTGTAGGAATGCTTACATGGATCTGTCTCTACCACTGCAGTTAAGAGTGTGCACATGGGAACTGTATATATACACTGAAGCTATCATGCGTGCAAAGTGTCTTTTATGTGGGGCATCTGGTTGCAGTGTTGAGTTCTGAGCTTAGTTCCTCCCCCCCCCCATTTACTGTGTGACCAGGGCTGATGACAGGGCTGATGTGGGCGCCAGAGCTAGGGCTGCTACAATTGTAGCTGCCAGGTCAGGTCAGACCAAGCCAGGTGGGGGCAGGATAGGTAAATAATTGCTTTTCCACCCTGTTTTCCCTTACATCTTGGGTGTTACAAAGCAGCAGTACCAGGGAAAGGTAATCCCTTGGTGCCTGACTATATTACTGCTGTTATTGCTATAATTAATGTCAGGCCCCTGTGATGGGGGGAGGAGGAATGTCAGTGAAATTGTCACCTTTCCTCTGTCCTTTCTCTCACTCTCTCAGCTTCCATGACCTCTAAAGTGTCTGGCCCAGTGCTAGAATAATAAAGAGCTGCAAATATTGATTAGTATTAATAGATTTCATTCATTGTACATACATGTTAGTTATAATAATATGAACAAACAACTGTTTCCTTGTTTTTTAAATCTAATTAATGTCCTTTATTGTTCAGCACAGAATGCACAATTCCCATTCAGAATTATGAACAGCACCTGCAGCCCCAAGCACTAAATTCACACATCCAATAACAGACATAGTATTGTTTTGTGCATAAGGTTCCCAGGCTGGGAAAATATGTTTATAGAAAAGCCAGCCTCCATGCACACCATAAGCAATGGATAGAGACACTTCTAACTATAAGTCCATTAATAATGGTGATGGATGGTTTCTTTAGCTGGCCAAAGTTGAACATGTTGTTTAAAACAGCATGTTCACCAATAAATCAATTAATACAAATATTTGCATTTATTTCTCACTATACATCTGGTAACTAAATATTTTGGTCACTTTTCCTGCCTATAGTATAGATTTTTTAAACTTTGTTTTAGCCATCTGAATCTAAAAGAATTGACTGCACAGCTCAGTATCCCAGCAATAGGCTTGCCAATCTCCAGGTGGGGCCTGGAGATCTCTCATTATTACAACTGATCTCTAGATAATAGAGATCAGTTCCCCTGGAAAAAATGGCTGCTTTGGAGGGTGGGCCCTATGGAACTGTACCCTGCTGAGGTCCCTCCCCTCCCCTCCCCAAACACTACCATCTCTGGGCTCCACTCCCAATATCTCCAGGTATTTCCCAATAACCCTGCCCAGCAGACTACCAATAGCTGGTCCTGTTTGACTATGACCCAGATCTTCAGAAAGAAAAAGGTTATTTTTTAAAATTTTGTTATATTGAATAAATGTCTAAACAATCCTGTTTCTTAAATATAGGGGATGAAAAAAAATTGAAATGTTTATTAGAGTAGATTTTTTTAAAATGTAGTTTTAGCTGGAAAGTATGAAGCTACAGGGAAAGTTATATTTGTTTTTGTCAAAACGCTGAATTCATAATGTTAAAAAAACCCAGAATTTAATGAGCTCATAATTTGCATACCTACCTAGTTTAAACTTTTAAAGTCTAAAAATGTACACACATAATAATGGGATTTCACTGAAGAGATTGACAGATTGATACTTCCTACCTGTTTTTTTAACATCAGGGACAGCTGTCTTCTCAAGAGCTTTCTTTTTTACCTCTTTTTTCCCTAAAAGTTAATTAAAAAGAAACCATTTTAATGCTAGAAATATGAATCACACACTTCAATGTACATTCAGCTAAGCACAGGGAAGAAATTGTGGCTTAGCTTCTCATGTGGATGTTGTAAAAAAAAAAGATTATCTGTTTTATACACCTACTCATAGGGATAAATTCTAATCTCTGTGAACCATGTTAGGCATGACTGTGGCAGACCCATTTGTTTAAACCCTGTCAGTAGATAGCAAAAAGGACTGGCAGGTGGTGATGGGGCCTAATGTATGCCATTTCCTCATGTTTATTGTAACACATTTAAGATTAAGCTAGATCTAACAGTGGCAGACTGTGTGAACCCTCATGGGTACAATAAGTACAAAGGATCGAATAGGGAGGTTCATTATGTTAAAGAAAAAGATACACACTGGGCTGCTGAGATACCAGAATAGTGTCTGAAGATGCTCCAAGACATCCTTGAACCAGAAATTGAACCACTCTGCAATGTTAAAAGCAAAGCTAAATGAACTTGTATTACAGGACAGAACAAGAAAAGGTGAACTTTTAGACAAATATAAGAGGAACTGACAGTTTCCAGATGCATGACCTGGGCTGGTAGCAGTACTACAGAGATGTGTACAGTATGAAAAGGAGCAGAAAGAATTCCAGAAGTGAAGACAAGATAAAGTCACATCTGGTAAGGAATGCATATTAGGCGACACACCCTTAATGTAGCCAATCCTCCAAGAGCTTACAGAGCTCTTTTTGCAGGAGCTACTGTAAGCTCTTGGAGGATTGGCTACATTAGGGGTGTGTCGCCTAATATGCAAAGGAGTTCCTGCTACACAAAGAGCCCTGTGTTTCATCCTTCAGAAGGTCTAGGATAAACAGACTACCCCAGCAAGAGCCCAAGATGTTTACAGAGAAAGCAACACTTTCAGTTGTGGAAGAAGAGGGAAATTCCCTTGTATGTGTACAGGGCTCACAAGGGGGAAAGGGTACACTTTACTGGGGTCCATTGCATGAGGAAAAAACTGTGGATAAACTACAGATCACGCCTGAGGGTATTTATAGAAACTAAAATATGTGACACTAGGGGCTCTTCCGCATTCTCATTTTCTTCATTTATGTGTTCCTATTGCTGGGGGGGAGGGGTGTTTCTGTTCCACATGTGTTTTGCTCTCTCTAGTGGTCGATTCAATAGTACATCTCTGTATGTCCTGCATAAAAAAATTACAGTTTAAATGTGTTGGTTTTTATGATGGACATACAGCAATGCAATATTAAATTGACCACTAGAGAGAGCAAAACACATGTGGAAAAGGAAAAAAAAAACACCCTTAAGCAATGGGGACACACAAGCAAAGAAAATGAAAAAGAGTTGGTTTTATACCCCACTTTTCTCTACCTTAAGGAGTCTCAAAGTGGTTTATGATCGCCTTCCCTTCCTCTCCCCACAACAGGCATCTTGTCAGTAGGTAGGGCTGAGACAGTTCTGAAAGAACCGTGGCTGGCTGAAAGGTCACCCGGCAGGCTTCATGTGGAGGAGTGGGGAGAATCAAACTCAGTTCTCCAGATTAGACTACACTGCTCCTAGCCACTATACTATGCAGAAGAACCCTAGTCCTTGGGGAACTGGAAGAAGCTTCTAAATGCATTCTTGAAAACAATCCCAACATTTTCCTTGAGAAATGTGGCACCTAAAAAAAACTTCAAGTCTACTTTTGGGGAGAACTACCTCCCACTGGTAGTATTAAATGAGGTTTGCAAGAAACAACTGCAGTTTTCAGTGAAGTGTGCATAGCCCTGTGAGTTTTCCCCCACACTGTAAGGGGCGGTGTCAGAACCTGAATGAAGTTTCAGCAAGCTGGTACTCATCAAAATTGCAGGCATTATATAATGGGCCAAGAATGGTTAAGATACAGAGTTTTCTTGTCCAGTGAGTGTGAACTTGCAGGAGAAATTGACTTTAGAAGGCTAATTAATGATTTTTTCAATGAAAAGGGAAGGCCAAAAAAAAAAGCTTCAAAGTTTATTGGCATAATGTGCACCAGCCATGTCAACCCATTAGAGTAAAAAAAATAATAAAATAAATCAAGACATTGAGAATATAATCCCTTTTTTATGTTCAAAAAGTTACAAAAGAGTTAAGAAACTTGTCGCACTCTCAGGCTGAGTGTAATTATTAAACAAAAGTGTCAAAGGCAGACATATTTCAGAAATGTAGAATATACAACAATGATTTCAGAATTAAAACAAACTTAAAAAAAAAATGGTTCCCGAGACTGTACAAATGGGATTGTGGCGTGGGTATGGAGGGAGTTACAAGTTTGTACAGGAACCAGTAAAATAATGCTTCAGCCCTGCATGTATGAGTTCAGTATAAGTATGTATAGCTGGGTTTGAGGAAGAAAAGCAGATAGGAGAGGGAGAGAGAACACAGAAACTACCTCATAACCTAGATAAAGATATCAGTGGGTAATTATAACAATCTTAACTTAGGCCTCTATTAGTTGTTAATAGATAGCATGCTTGAATGGAGAAATATTAGGAAAAATATTAGGGAGGCATCACTGTAATTGTCAGATGCTCAACAACTCATAAACAGATCACTTCATAATCAGAACTGTAATGCCTTGTCATTTATTGGTTTGGGAACCCATCTGAGAAATAAATGATGTTTTGGCCACTTTTAGGAGCTCCCTCTTGCATCCATGTCTCCGTACTCTGTACCCTCAGGCTTTTTTCTCCTCAGCTCTAATGATGACTGTGAGCTCAGCTAGAAGAAAAGAGCTGAAGGTAGGATTCTCAGGGAAGTAAACAGCAGGTATGAGAGCATTCAGCCCCCATGGTCAGGGCCGGCACACCCACTAGGCGAAATAGGCATTCGCCTAGAGCGCCGGGCCCTGGATGGGGCAGCTGGCCCTGGATGGGGCTCCGAACTGCACCTTCCCCGACCAAAAGCCCGTGCGCCATTGCCGCTCCCAGCCGCGTGGTGTGTGGGGCACGAAAGGGGCCAACGAAGGCGGGTTGCGCCTTTCCTCGCTCCTCCCCACTTTATCACGCAAATCCCCCCCCGGGAAGCAGCCTGCCCAGCGATTGGCGGGTTGCTCTCAGCTGGGGCTGCGCTCCGGCCCTGCCTCCCCACCCAGGCCCTGCTCCTGAGGTGGTGAGGCGAGAGGAGGGATCGAGGAAGGAGGAGAAGGTGGGGCGGCGGCAATGGCAGTGCTGGCTACTTCAGAACAGTCATGTTTCTAGATTGTTTCAGAAACGTTCCTAATAAGCATGAGGACTCTGAGGAGAAGCAGAAAGAACGATTGTATCCGGAAACATGCCCCCCCTCACTCAGAAATCCCCACTGGCACGATCAGCAAAACAGGGAAATGGGAATGCTTTACTTTCTACACATCAGAGAAGCAGCAGCTTAGCACATGCTTTCGCCCTGCAGCCCGATCCTAACTAGGACGACTCACAAATGCGTTGATTTAGGATGGCAGCCAGTATCGGATTACAGCTGGTGGAGAGGACGACTACACACGTGGCCACCTGTCTGCTTCTTTTCTCGGGCAGACTTTTTACTAAGCAGCGAAGAGAAGCCAAGGGAAAGCTTGAATCCAAGCAGATTTCTTGCTTAAGAGCACATATATCGCCCCTTTCCCCGACATCAGTGGGACTGGGAGGCGCAGGCAAATGCACACCCTGCCTCCCGACACAGACCTCTCCTTTCCTTGGAGGTAAAGCCACCCTGAAATTCAGGAACCACGCTGAGGAGGGTTTGTGGGAGCAAGCTAGATTGTCCAGATTCGCTGAAAATTGCCCTGGAGTGCGGCATCGTCAACTGGGGGGTTGGGCGGGGATGCTCGCTTCCTTCCTCTGTCTCGCTGTGATGAAATCCCCCTGCCCTTCTTCCTCTTCCCGCCGCCCCCCCGGCTGCAAAAAAAGAGAAAGCGGCTGGCCTGGTGAGGTTGGAGCACTGCCCAGCGAGGCGCAGCTGAGGTGGGCCAGAGGGAGAGCCACATAGGCAAGCAGGGGCCCTGGGAGGTTTCGGGCTGTTGGGGCTGGTGCACGGGCTACCGCCATGCTCGGGGCGGCCACGGCTCTCTTTCTAGGCACCAGAGCCAGAGAGGCCAGCTACCGCGCTCCAGAGGATGGCAACAGAAGGTGAGTCCGGGCAGCGGGGAGGCCAGCTGGGGGGGCGGGGAGAGAAGTTGGAGTTAAGGAAGGTTGTCAACCCCATAATTGGGGACATGCGGGGAGGCGCGGGGGGCACCAGAAGGTAGCCCTGCCTAGGGTCCAAAAAAACCTCGGGTCAGCTCTGCCCATGGTTGTGCTCTTGTGTCCATTTTGTTCCCAAAATCTGATCCCACCCCTTTATTTGGGGTTGGGCAGATTTAGATTCTCCAGCCACAGCACTTGAAAGGACATGTAATGTATTCATCCCCAACCGCGGAGGCGACCTGGTCGTCACGCGGTCAGGTGAAGTAGCAGAGCTTCGGGAATGAGAACAAAGCGTCAAGTGGATCCTAGCCCGCACCAATAGGAGGGCTTTGCATCCCGCAGGGACGAGCTGTCAGCCCACACAGGATGCTTGATGTGGGGCGGCCCAACCCCCTTAAGGGACTGAGTCCTCACGGTGCTCCACGAGATGCACCCAGGGGTGGTCCAGATGAAGGCCCTGACCAGAAGTTACATCTGGTGGCCAGGCCTGGATCGGGACATTGAGGACCGGGTCAAGAGGTGTCAGCTCTGCCAAGAATCCCGGCCTGAGCCTCCCCAGGCTCCCGCTAGAGCCTGGGAGTCATTGGACAAGCCCTGGTCTTGGCTACATTTGGACTTCACGGGGCCATTCCAGGGTCAACTATTTTTTATACTCATGGACGCATACAGCAAATGGCTCAAGGACATTCCGGTACCGTCCACTTCCTCGAGAGCCACCATCCGGACCATGTGGCACATCTTCAGTGCCCAGGGTATTCCCAACACCCTGGTCACCGACAATGGCACGACCTTCACCTCTGGTGAATTCCAGGACTTCACCCATTACTACGGAATTCGCCACGTCAGATCGGCCCTGTTCCACCCAGCGACCAACAGCCAAGCCGAATGCATGGTTCGGACAACCAAGGATGCACTCCGCCGCTTGGACAGCAAGGACTGGGACTACAAGCTGACTGCATTCCTCTTTGGCCAGAGAACGACACCCCACACCACGACAGGATGCAGCCCAGCGGAGCTCCTGTTAGGACGGCGCCTGACGACCCGACTGGACCGCCTCCATCCCAATCGAGCACCGGAAGAGGAACCGGCCACGGAGTCACCTGAGGCAGCCAGAGGGTTTTCCCCCGAGGACCCGGTCTATGCCCGAAACTGCACGGGGCCCGCCTTGGATCCCAGCCAGGATGGTGAGAGTCCGGGCCCCCCGATCGTATGAGGTTTTTACCCAGGACGGCCAGATACTACACTGTTACATCGACCAGCTGAGGCAGCGAGTTTTGCTCTACGACCCAGAGGACGGAGACATTCTAGAGGTCCTGGAAGTGACCACCTCACCTCAGCCACGGGATGCCCTTGATGGACATGAGGAGGGGTCTCCTGGTTCCCCAGCTGACAGCCTGGCTGAGTTCCGGGTAGCAGGACTACCAGCACCACAGCTGCCAATGTTGACGAACTCTCAATCGTGTGCAGCAGCGGCACCATCGTGTGCAGCAGTGGCACCATCGACCCCGGTCCCAGCTCTTCGCCGCTCAACCCGACCCCATAAAGCACCCACCTATTTGCAGGACTTTGTGTGTGAGTGTCTTTTGGACCAAGGGGGGAGGGGTGTAATGCATTCATCCCCGACCGCAGAGGTGACCTGGTCGCCACGCGGTCAGGTGAAGTAGCAGAGCTTCGGGAATGAGAACAAAGGGTCAAGCGGATCCTAGCCCGCACCAATACGAGGGCTCGGATCCCGACCGAGAGCCTATGGATCTCTCGGACACTGTAAATAGCCAATCACGGGTGTGGGGTGTAGGGGTGTTTCCTGGGTTATATACACCGGTCTGTGAGCCGGCTCTTTGTCTTGTTCTGAACTAAGTAAAAGTATGTTGAGCTGAGATCACTCCCATCCGCATACTTTTCAGGGCAGCTTCAAACAGATGCTATTTATTAATTCAGGATTCCAGATTCATAAATGGTACAAGGGTGTAATCTGTAAGCAAGGCACTGAAAAAAGTTCAGAGTTAGAGGGATAACTGGCAGGCTAACTAGTGGAGGGGTAACTGGAAATTCTTTTTATTCCAATATGAGAGGAGATCTCAAAAGAAGACTAATGAGCAAAATAGGTTTACTTAAAACAGACCATTTAACTTACTTCAGGAATCAAAGACAGAAAAGGTTTTTCAATGAAGGTGCTCTGACTTTTGGACTTTTTAATATTTCCCAAGAGACTGCAAGGGTTACATCTTAGTTAGAAACAGTTTAATGGTCAGCTGCCTTTAGTGGAATCTATAATGTCCTCAACAAGTATGAATGCCTTGGATTACACATCAATGGATCGGTTCCAGTGCTCTCATAGCAGCATTGTTGCCCTATACCTTCTCCATGCAGTTTTCATTACTTGTGAATTTGATGGTCTATGCAAATAGATGATTTAGCAAAGACTCAATGTATGCAAAGACAGATGCAGCCAAACAGTTTGTCTTTCTAGAATACATTAAATTATGATCTTAGGGTACATTCAAGTAGGAAACAGCAACATGATTGTTGATTTGATTCTAGCCATGTGTTGATTTTTCCACGGGGACAGCAGTTTGTGAATAGCAGATTATGCTACATCATCCCTCACTACTCATCACACTATTGTAGATCTCTTAGAAAGGTTTTCAGAATTACTGAGGACTGGCATTTTCACAAGCTAAAACAATACATGCAATGGCTTCTAGCTGCATGTGATCATATTTAAAGTCATTATGTGGCTGATTGGTCACTTGGGTCCCGCCTCTTGAAGCTGTCTACACAGCAAGCATTCATGATTCAAGTTTTTAAAATAATTTATTTTTAACCCCCCTTTATTTTTAAACCTACCTTCTTTTTTAATTTCAGGAACAATTTTCTTCTCATGGGCTACTTTCTTTTCCTCTTCCACTTTTGAAACTTAAATACAAAGATGGTTAATTGGCTTCTTATTGTTAGGTATTACAACAGGCACTGACTGATCAGTAACGCAATCCATGCAATTTTTCCTCTAAAAAAAGATCATGCATTTTCTCACATATGGAAATCTGCCACACATTATACTGTTAAAGGAGTTGAAGGGAATATCACTTCTAGTTCTCTCTCAGTGAAATTCTAAGAACACTTTCCTGGGAGTAAGCCTCATTGAGTAGACTTCAGTAGGATTCTAAGTAGCCCTGCTTAGGTATGCTCTATCTCTTACCAAAACAGAATTGTTTGCGGGGCCTTAAAAAAGATCCAAATGACAAATGAGTCTTATGATTGTGGCTTTCAGTCCCAACCTATGAAGCAGTCCACACAGCAAGCATCCCTTCAAACTAGCTTACCTTTTTTTTTAGTTTCAGGAATAATTTTCTTCTCATGGGTTACATTTTTCCCCACTTCCACTGTTGAGACACAAACCAGTATTCAAATATATTTCTACCCATCACTGGTCGTAACAGAAAAAAAGAGTACACAGGAAAGACAGATACATCAAAAGAAACAAAGCAATTGACTAGTTTTCATCATTACAATAATTAAAAATGTAAAGCATGGGATTTTTTAAAAAGCAGAATGCAAGACTTTCCATCTTCAAGAATTAAAGTAATCACACAGTTGGGCAGAAGCCCATTCAAAGTAATCCTGCCCCTTCAAAAAAGATGGAGTCCCACAGTTTACCCCTTTTGGCACAGAGGAATTATCACACATTTAAGCAAAACAGTTGTTGTTGTAGTTGTGTTCCTCCTCTACTGAAACTGGATTTTTGGCTTAGGAAATGCATGGTCCTTGTGAACAGCATTTTAATACATGAACCACCAAAACTTAACTGACCATTATAAGGCAGCATTTATGCACATTTTTGGAATTACAGGCACATGGAATTCAACATAATAAACCAAAAGCTTCCTTGTGGACCAGTGTTTTTTTCATCAAATATAAAGTCAACAATGGTCCCAATCACACACAGAATTAGCCATGCGATAGGCACAAATGCTGGGTGGATTTTAAGCGTGCAATCACATGGGAACATCTGGCAAGCGTCCCGTACCCGTCGGCAATCCATCTCGCTCCACCAAAGAAGCGGAGTTTAAAAATACCGGGGAAAGTCCAGTATGAAATGGGTTGCTATGGGCCACAGATGGACTTTCCCCTGTGTGATCGCTCCAGCATGTTTTCACGGCGTCGGGATGGCTGATCAGGCCATTGTGACTCCATGCCGTTGTTTTTCCCCCCTTCTCAGTATGCGCATCATTGCATACTGCCATAGGAAGCCCTCAGTGAGGAGATGCTATTCTTTGATCCTCTGTTGATCCTCTGTTTAAGCGAATCGAAAACAAGCAGCAAAAACCCCCAGCTCACTCGCGATTGCATCTGATCGCGCAGTGGCGGCCTACGCCCGCAGCTTCAAAGAACTGTGTGATCATGCAACTGTGGGTCAATTTCCCCCGCACATTATCTCGCATGTGTGACTGGGACCATCATGTGACTTCTTGGTCATTTTAATCCACAGTATGATGCTGCTGTGTCAAGAAGAGGCATTCATCATACACATTCATCTCAGTAAAAACATTTTTTTAAAACCCCTTTATATAGCCTACCTTTCTTTTTAATTTCAGGAATGGCTTTCTTCTCATGGATTGCCTTCTTTTCAGCTAATACATGAATAAAAGGAAGTTTTAATTGGCTTTATATCTTATGAAAATACAGTGGTCAGCTTATAGAAAAGTACAATTAATGCAAATATTTCCTTCAAAAATGGGGTTCAAAATCACGTTTACTCTTTGATATATATGGGCATCTGTCACACATTACATTACGACAGGGGATGAAGAGAGAATTGCTGCCAACTCTTTCACCATTAGAACAGGATCTTTAGCCTGGATGAATGTCTGAATTGATTCCATTGACTAAAAACAAAACAAAACCAAAAACCACATGACTGCTACATTCAACCTAGTCCTTTGATGACTATTCCATATAAAAGGTGATTGATGAACACCTAATGCTACATGAACATCTAATGCTCATTTCATTGTCATCCTTTATGTGGGTTTTTGAAGAGGAGGCATGAAAATTTCTAGAACATGTGCTACAACAATGGCCATGGAGCAATCTATATATTTTAAAGTAATCATCATGTGGCTGCTTGATCCCTTGAAATTGTCCATGCAGGAAGTATTATAATCCAAATTCTTCCAATACATTTTTTACAAAACTTTTCAATAGCCTACCTTTCTTTTTAATCTCGGGAACAATCTTCTTCTCATGGGTTACCGTCTTTTCTTCTTCCACTTTTGAGACATAGATACAAAGATATTATTCTGGTTATGCAATTTAAGGAATTATAGTAGGGAGTCAACCAGGCAGAATCTCAATGTAAGTAATATGTCCGCTTTGCAAAAAGGAACAAGTTCTCACAATTTGACCTTCTGCACATAGAGGCTTCATCATACTGTAGGAGACTGGTTGTAGTTAGTGTGCCCACCCCCTTCCAGTGAAAGAGGATCTTGAATTTAGGAAATGTGTGATAATCTTTGGAACCATCATGCACAACAGTTTATTGTATGGATCACAGATTCATACTACACTATCACATTCCATTCTTTATACAAGTTTTTGGATACTCACAGACCACTGGTAGACCATGGTAACCCACTAGATGCAAAAGGCTTCCATGCAGATTAGTCTTTTTGTCATCAAATTTAAAATCTTCATAATGTGGTCCCTTAACCATTTCAGTCCACACCATGCTGTTATCTTCAGGGGTCCTCTCAATAAAAATATAAAAGACCCTTTAAATAGCCTACCTTTATTTTTGATTTCAGGAATGACTTTCTTCTCATCGGTTACCTTCTTTTCCTCTAATATATGAATACAAAGATTATTAACTGACTTCATATCTTAAGAAATTACATTGGCCAGCTTACTGAACAGAGACCTAAGTATCTTTTCTTCATAAAAATGGGATAGAAAGCCATATACTTGACCATCAGAAATCACTGGATATCTGTCACACATTATTACATTATAAAAGGGATTGACGAGACCATTATTGTCTAATCCATCATTGGAACAAATTTTGGCGTGAACTGGGCTTCAGAAAAGTTTCAAGAAAGAAATGAGTGTGGTTTCAGTCCAGCCCTGTGAGGTGGTTCCATACAAAGAGCAATTTGTGAATGGCAATTTATGTTACAATGAACTCCCATTACTTACTATACCATTCTGTGCCATCCCTTCATAGACTTTGGAAGCAAGGGGAGAATTCGAAGTTCCACAATTTAAGCTACCACAGGCAAACAGCTCATTTATGGAGCAATCTACATACTTTAAAGTGCTCATCATGTGGCTGTTTGCTCTTTTGAAACCATTCTATAAAGCTGTCTGAGCAACAAACATTCATTGTGCAATTTTGCTCAGTAAAATTTTTGAAAAACCTTCAAATAGCCTACCTTTCTTTTTAATGTCAGGAATAATTCTCTTATCACGGGTTACCTTCTGTTCCTCTTCCACTTCTGAGACATGAATAAAAAGATTATACACTGGATTTATGTCTTGAAGAATTACATTAGGCACAAACCCAATTCAAGAAATTGTTGCCCTTTTAAAAAGGTGACAAAAATCATGCAATTTAGCCTTCTGGTCACACAAGCATTCAGATACTATGCCTACCTGCTCCTCTCCCACTGGAAGAGGAAGGTTGCCCTAAGGTTTGCAAACAGGTCTTTGGGGCCTTCTATAATTTGCAGTTCACCCACATGAAGCCCCAATACTTATCCCACCATTGCAAGTCATCTTTTGCCCGTGTACCCAAGAATAAAGTTACAAGCCTCAGATTGTTAAATTATGCTAGGGCATTGTTATTAACAGCTATTGTGCAGGTTATGGTTCAGTTAACTTGGAAAACTAGATGTCTCATACAGCTTCTAGAGTCTGAAGAGTTCCATCTTGGCTTATAGGTAAGCACCACACATGTTCTCTTATTTGTCTTTCAGTGCCTTTATTCCTACAGGACTGCCAAGAGGGGGCTAATATTTTGACCATCTTCCCAGGCTACTCAGCCTCAAGAAGACAGCCTATACAACATTTTGGAAGCAAGGGGAGAACTGGAAGTAGCCCATGATGAACCATCACACACAACTGGCTTCCATGTGACTCAGTCTCTAAATTAGGCTTCATGCAGCCACTTAGTTAATTTGATTTAATTTGATTTATTCAATTTTTCTCCCTCCCTCCTGGCCACACAGCAAACATTCAAACCCAGTAAAAAAACTAGCAAAGTTCTTCCATCAGGCTACCTTTCTTTTTAATTTCAGGAATGATTTTCTTCTCATGGGTTACCTTCTTTTCCTTTTCAGCTTCTAAGACATGAACACAAAGATGATGGATTGGCTTCGTACCTTAAAGAATTACTGTAGATAGCCAACTGGGCAGATGACCAATTCGTGCAATTTATCATCTTCAAAACAAGGGACAAAATCATGCAATTTGGCTTCTTGTGCATGCAAGCGTTAGGCAAAAACAGTATGACCACCTGTTCTCCCACCACCAGAACAGGATTAATGGCCCAGAAAATGTGTGAACTGGGCTTTATGAAAGATTCAAATGGCAACCAGCCACATAGTTCACAAGAGCAAAAATCTAGGAAATCCTATCAAATGGCCTTCCTCTCCAGTCCTTTCTAATATGGAGAATCGTTCTCTTTTCATAGGTTACCTTATTTTCCTCCTCCACTAATGAGATACGAATGTAAAGATGATGATTAATTGGCTTTGTGACAAAATCACACAGTCTGGCTTATATGCAGGCATCCAACCACAAATGGCATAATGAGAGTGGTTAAGGAAGTATGTTCAATACCTCTTCCAGCACCAAGCCAAAATCTTTTGCCTCCTTAAAAGCCTCAGCTGGGTCTTAGGAAAGATTCAAGTCAACCACATGATTTCAGCAACTGTTGATTATTTTACATGGAACACTTACCTGTGAATAGCAGTGTGTTTGTTTATTAAAATTATATCCCGCAATACTCATAGGGGCTACAGGGCACCTTATGACCAATATCCCATAAGGTATTTAAGAAGAAGAATATCAAATAGAACAAATAATCAGGGTGTATTTCCCACCCCCCATCTCTTCCCTGGAAAATATTGTCCATCAAAATGCCTAAGACAGTTTTCATTTCAAAGGCAAACCTAAAGCCAGACTGAAATGGGTTAACATAAGCAATCCCATCCAAGAAAACCGGAAGTTGAACTGCCACCACATACTCAGGCAGAAAGTAGCCATTTGTCTCTGACTGATAGTTGTTTAAATAGTTTGGGTTCAGAAAGGATTTTTTTTCTACACCTAGATTTTATGGGGCTAGATGTTGTAAGCAACAGTAGGAAATGGATGATGGTGAGGTATTGTGGTGGTAGCATTAGGACATTTCCTATCCCTTAAATACAGCTCTACTGTGCAGAAATAGGCAACTTAATCTTGTCCTGGCATGGAAATAAATAGCATCACCTGGTAAATTACATCCTACATCCTATTAAGCCTCTATTAAAGGGATACGTTTTTTCCCCCCTCTCCAGGCAGCTGGCAATTCTGGGTAGCATGCACTGCCCCAAGCAATTTGTCCAGTTCTCATAAGGCAGTAACTTCAGCTCATCCAAGCAATTACACTGTGATACTGACCTGCCAGATTTGTGGTGTCTAACTTCTGGCTAACATTAGCATGAAAAGACTACCAAGTCACAGCAAGCTTTTGATTGGTCTGGGTTTACATTATCAGGGATGGGTGGAAAAGCCCTGTGACTGGCTGGAACAAGTCATCTATACAGATTTGTGCAGGCACAGTGGTAGTGGAGAAGTATTTCTACTTTGCCCATCATGACCACCAGAGTAACCAGGAAGATGTGTTCTAGCTGGAGCTCAATCTGATTCACTGTGAGTTTACCTCTGCTTATAATTTAACCAATAGTTAGTCTTCTACCTTATGATACATAAATCTTCAATACTTACAACATTATTACAAACTATCCTTAAATAGGTTTTAGGAAGCATGGTGAGAGCCTGAAAATGCGCAGGGAAAGCCATTCCACACAAATGGCTTCCTTATGGAGCTGCCTACATGTGATCAGATTTAAAGTGGCCATCATGTCACCAGTTGCCCATTAGAATCTCCCTATGAAGCTGCCCCCATAGCAAGTATTCATTACATAAACCCCACCGATAAATCTCTAGCAAAACGTTACGAACAGCCTACCTTTCTTTTTAGTTTCAGGAATATTTTTTTTCTCATGGGCTGCCTTCTTCTCTTCCACTTTTGAGACATAAATATGAAGATGATCAATTGACTCTGAACTTAAAGAACTATAATAGGCAGCCAGTTGTCCAGATGGCCAAGTTATGCCATTGTCTCCAATCAAAGAAAGGGAGAAAAATCACACAGTTCTGTGCATACAGGCATGTATCTTCTTTTACACTGTGAGTATCACTAATGGAGGATGCCTTCCGTTTTCTGTTGCACTGGTTAAATAGCTAACAGTGCAATCCTAAGAAGAGTTACTCCAGTCTAAGCCCATTCATTTCAATATTTATTTATTTATTTATTTATTTATTTATTTATTTATTTATAAATTCAGTTTATAGCCCGCTCTCCCCA